ACCTCTGAAATTATCCACTGCCACATGTAGAAGATTTACCACTGAAAATTCATTGGTTTTTTTTTTGAAAGGCAAATGCTGGTTTCTCATGTCTAGTTCGAGGCTGTCAATTGTTCTGCTGAAATGACAACTGATTACCACATTTCTTCAGGTAGCCAATTAAGCTAACATTAGCTTTTGTGAGTTGGTTGAAAATGTTCTCCATTCAGCTTTTTATCTAACGTTACTATCTGTGCTATATTACAAACCCTGTCAATATGCACTTAATGGCTACAGTGCTAAAAGACTGAGGGTAAAGCTGCATCTCTCAGGGAAAGGTTCTCATCAGTTAATGGTCCATGCAGAAGACAGAACCAAACAGTACAGTTTCTGTAGTACAATAGGCATAATAAGGGAAAATGTTATTGTTGCTCACATTTTCAAACAGTAGGTTTCATTTTTAATGTGAGAGGAGAAAAGACTTTTAGGATAAGGACAAACTAACCAGCATTTGGGGAATGTGATGCTATCTTGATTAATGCGTTTGGCTGTTTGGCTGCACTCTCATACGGTATCGTGGGATACTGGACTAATTTTTTTTACAAAGGGGAAAATACTATACAGTGGACGTGTTAGTTAGTGGGGCTTTTAAAATAACTTTAACCGCACAAAATAACGCAGTATGAAATGTGACCACTGCCAAAAAGAGAAGCCTGCAATTTTCTATTAATCATTCCCACTGACAGCATCAGGATTCTGGGGCTGCTCATTTAACACAGCCACCTGCAGCGACAGTGGCTCTCTCCATTATCAGTAGCAGCTTGAAAACAATGAGTCTCTGGTTTGATTATGGGGAGGATGAAATAAAAATCATTCAACCAGAGCAAAACTCCCACCAAAATAGAGCATAGCGTTTGTCCTGAATGCTCCTGCCTCGTGTATATTCCATATTCTGTACATAGGCACATCCATCAAGTGAGCGTAAACTGTGAAATGGCCCTGCTGTGAGGAGCCTGACCCCTCCTCCAACCCAGCAGTGAAAAGCATCCGTTAATGCAGATGTGTCAAGCAGGGTTATTTCTTCATCACTCTAAGGCTTTCTATGCATTTTCCACATTAACTGGGTCTACTTTCAATGTTGGATGCTGTCGCTTCACAGTCTGTAAATCAATCTGAAAGCTCCTGCTGGCTATGAGAAATCACATGCTGCTATTGTACACACAGAGACACCTGATAACTAATTGGTGGCAGTGTGATTTAACATCATTTTGTCAGTTTAAGTTTGATTGATGTGCATATTAAAATAATATGGTACAATGCTCAAGTAAACAAAAGTATAAATGACTCGCATTATAAATCCTCAAATCCACAAATAGCTTGTCTTGGCAAGCTGCTAGAAAATTGACCTGATAAACAGTCACCTGCTTGTCATCTATTTTAAGCAAATCTCTTAATTAAGTTGAAGTGACATCCCTTCAGTCCCTTTAAACCCTGCTGGATAATAAAAGTGGGACAAGACTAAAAACCGGGGCAGTTGCACATTCTCTAAAGTATATGGGAAATAAACTGCACGAGATGAAAAGACACGACTATAGAGATCAGTAGACGTACTGTATTTTTTAAAAAAGACACAGTCTGGGCTTGAATAATGCACAGTAAGATAACATGACTATGTAATTGAATTTATTTTATGAAAGTGAGAACAACGAGGGTCTTTATAGGCCTTGTGGCTACTGTTATTTTGAAAAGTGAGTTTAATTGGAAAACGATCGCTTCTGCGAACCTGCATTTGATATCACAGAGTGGTGATACACATGCAACTCTTTTCACTATATATCTACCCCAAATCTTATACCACTTATATTTCAGTAAATCTGGTCTGGTCATTTCATTTTGACCTCACAGTCAAAGCAGCTTTTGCAAATAATTCTGCACATTACAAATAAATGCTGCTTTTATCTTGTATGGGAGTGTACAGAGCTGGCTGCAGTAGTGCAATTCAATTAACTGACTTTAAATCATCCACTCTGATTATATTGACTTTCTGGCACTTATTGCATAGTCCTATCATTTGGCACCGGTTCTGTCTGGGGGTCCTGGTGCAGCGGGTAAACACAGATGGCTGTGTTTATGTTGACAGTGTCAACCTCTCTCTCCCTTCTCATCTTTTCACTCGTGTGTGTCCTCTCCAACACAGCAGGAGATGGACACCACTGTCAGGTAGAATTACTCAGAGCCATAGCTTCAGTAAATAAGTGGCTGAGAAATACTGACGGTCATGACAAGACAAAGCATCTAAAGAGAGAATATGGGAACAGCCCTGTAGCACTGGGTTTAAGAGTTAAAGATCCAGATATGTAAGTAATGGAAAGGAAATAAATATAGAATGCTGTGTTATCATTCCATCTGCACCTGGGGTCAGATGTTTCTTTTAGTATGTTTTGTTTTTTTTGTTTTTTTTAAGGTTTGTGCATGCAAGTCCATTCAAAAATGAGTAAAAGGCCAAGGCCAGTGGGTCACATGTACTGGTTAGACAGAGCCCTAAGGGTTTTGCTGTCCTGTGTAGCAGATCTGGCAGCTGAAGCCAGTCGGAGATTGACAGAATGCCCGGGATGGCTCTGGAGCTTGTCTACAACACATCAAAGCTGACCTTAGCATCACCTTGTAACCAAAGAACACATTGGCTCATTTTCTATCACTTAACATCTGCCATTTTAATGATATCAACAATCACAGCCTGTGTACCAAGATGTACACAATGTGATTTACCATCACACTTGTCGGTGTGGTAAAAGAAATTCATAACTGAGTGTGAAAGTTGCAAAGAATTTGTAATATCCATGTCTAAAAGAGCTGAGGGAAGTAATGTAAAGTAACATATGTATTTGAAAAGATAAGGAACAAATCACCTCATAGCCCCCAGCTTAGTATTCAAATGCTTTGCTGTGATTTGTCACCTATTAATCTATATTTTGCGATGCTGGAAGATGCCACCACTTTCAGCCTAATGAAGTTTCATTTCAAATGAGTGAGGCATTGCTGCCATGCAGCTCATTCACCAAACAGAAAAACGTGCACATCTATGTTGCCTTGCATAATAATACTTTTTAACATGTTCAGCAGAACACTATTCAGTATGTTTCTGAGATATTGTACAAAACAAGAAAAGGAACAATGAGAAATGCAGCGAAACAAAGACCAGTTATGTTACCAGTCTAAACTGGTATTCTGTAGAGTGGTACACACGCAATGCATGTTCATGTCTTGCGGTATGTGGTTTTGCTGAGTACCATGCTTAGTTTCTTCAGGAACTTAAGTTCTAAAACTCTGAGTTTAATGTGTTCTCTTCTAATATGCTGCCGTAATAATAGTTAGTACAACCTTCCACCCAGCCACTCATTCTTCATCCTCTGCCACAAGAAGAAGATTTGTGACCAGACGCTCTAACAGGGAGTTCTTTAAAAACTTTTCCTGTCTTTAGGAGAGAACAGTTATGGCAGCATCCATCATCTTTTAGTGACAACGTGATGGTAAAGGTTCAATGATTTGCAGGCAGCAGAGCTACACCGAGATGGATGTGCAAAAAATCATCTATTGTGAAGACAGTCTTCAATACTCCTGGAGACTTTGCCTGGCTTCATTCACAGTCTGCCATTTCAGAGTGACTCAGAGCATTGGAATGGATTTTACCTCAGTTAAATTAGCCATTACCTCTCTTGAATAGATGTATTCTTGAGGAGAGAGAGAGTAAATGGATGCTGGGAAAATGTGAACTGGAAGAGCAGGAGGGAATGAGTACAAGGTAATGAGGTCATGTAGAAACTGGAAGCAAAGAGTTTCATTTAAGACAGATTATGGCTCCTTGCACTAAATAATTCTTCTCCAAAAGCTCATTTCAGTCTAATAATTTCTGGTTTGTAATTATAATAATTAACAATTCATAACTGCATCCAAAAACACTTGTCCTTAACCCTTTACTGGAAGTGTTTATGTTGTTGCATTATCTTGTAAACACATAGAAACATACATCATTTGCACCAAAGTTCCCACTGATCTAGTTTAGTAGTTTAAAACACTGGTATTCAACCATTTCCAGTTGTGGATGAGTAATGGCCTCCCACCAGAGTCAGTGGTCTACCCCCTTTACTCCTGTTGTCTGGTTCCTATGTACTGCTGCTGTACACAACCAAAGTGTAAAAATGGAAGAGCATCTTGTGTCCTTGAAAACATTATATTGCCAGATTGATTTGGATTAGTCTGGCCCAGAAGAACAGCCATTGGCAGCAAAATTAATGTAATGCTATGAACCCTAGGTGCACAGAAAATGGCACCAGATAAACCACAAGGAGCCAGACACTGAAAGAGGAGTGGACACAAAGAATACCAACATCAGCTCCTCATGAAAACACATCACATTTGTGCATGTCAGGGACACACAGTGACAAATGTTCTCTGTGCAGCTGAAATCAATTGCATGCACAGTAACATGTTAAAATGTATTATTATGCAAGGCAACATTTACAGTAAGTAACACACAGTTCAATTAGATCTTGGTCCAATTAAACTGATGTCATTCATCCAAATAAAATAAATAGCTGTATAAAATACACTTAAGTTTAAATGATGCTTTTGTCTTTTAATGTTTCCCTTTTATTACACAAAATTACACAAGTACAGGATGTCCAAGTCCTTGTGAATAACGAAAAACCTAAAGCTTAAAAAAGTTTGAGGATCACTGCACTAAAACTATTAACTAAAAGACAAGTGCTATGAAGTGCAGTGACTTGTTGTAAACGCAGTTTTAAAAACTCTACAACAGTATGTAAATACGTGTGATTTTCAAATTAGACGAACAGATATTACGATAAGGCAATGAAAACAGATTCTGAACATCTGAAAGGTCCAGACGACACGTGGACTTGTTGACCGGCCGCGCCCTTGGAATCGACGGCCAAAACGTACTAATATAAAGTTCGAACGAGCCAAAATAAATTGGAGACATTTGGGTAGAAATGACTCACCTGGGCAGCCATGAATGACAGGTCCATGGTGCTGCACCGTTCAAGCCAATGCGCTCAGAGAAAGATTCAAAAGTGCGTGATTTTCTCTCCTATTCCCCGACAGAGTATTTGCTTCTTTCTTTGTTTTTAAGTTGGCAGACTTCACGTGAGGAGCATGTCTAAGATGTAGAATCAAAAACAAGGACTAGGAAACGAAGGGAACTCAGCAAGAAGCAGAAATAGACGCGGACCAGACGGAGAAATGGAAGAGATGTGGACGCAAGACAGCAAGAGAGTGAGAGAGGCAGCGGAGGAGGCTGTGGTGTTGTCAAGTAGCTCAGGAAGGAGGTGCAAGTCTCCCACTCTCTCTTTTCTTGCTTGGTCTTATTTCTTTTGTTGCTCTGTCTCGTTCTGAGCCTCCTTTTCCTCTTTTAATTTTCTTCTTCTTCTATTTTTACCCAACTCCACTCTTATAGAAATGCACAGCACATTATAGGCCACTGTATATGCCCAGAGATACATGCGCATCACTGAACACATACTGTTGTATACTTTTGTTTAGGCCTATTTTTCATATAGGCTACCCCCTGTTTCCTCCTCATGTATGAACTTGAGTCACAAAGTTAAGCATGTATTTGTCTCAAATGTAATTTGCCTATTACATTTGAAAAACATATAGTGGGCCCATAGTCGTGACAGTCGAGGTGTCAGTGCATGTCTCTCATCCACCTTTTGCTCAGCTCACTAAAAACAGGATGGAGCTGAACAATGCCCTAGACAGAAATAACATGAGAAAAAATAAAGATGCTAGTCCACCACATTGTAGTAAGACATTTCTGACAAATATCGCATGCGTACCATGGATCGCTCCATCATGGCCATGGGTATGTCTGGATGAAGCCATGAGTGGCAGTAACATAAAAATGACCTACATCTGAATGAAAGAATGCTGTCGCTAGTGAAGCCAGCAATGTTGCAAATATCCCATGTTTGAAAAGGACTTAACACAGTCCTGCAATAAACCCTCCCTTCATGAAGGTCATAAAGTTCAGGTTTTGTTGAATCGGTTTGAGTACAGTGCTGAGTCAGCTATATGAAAGATGTAGCTTGTGGTGCTGTTGAGCTGTATTATGTTATCAGGACAGGTGTTTATTTTGCCCACCCCATTTATTCCACTGAGGCCAGGCTACATAAAACACTTCTCTTTAATCCTGTGCTGCATCAGTGGCCAGGTTTGCTTGATTTAGATCATGGACAAGTATCTACAGTTGTACAGTTCCAATTAGGAGGAAAGTTAATGCTATAGCAAACTGTATAGATTTTAGACAACTGTGCACTTAAAACTTTGTGACAACAGTTTGAGGTGGGCCTGTATCCCATTTCAATATGACAATGAATGTGGAGTTTGTGTGGAAGAGCTTGACTGCCTTACAGGAGCCTGACTCCCATGAAAAATCTATTGGTTTGATTCTGGAACCAGTTCTTGCAGAAGGTTGTAAAAACCTTGTGGAAACCCTTCCCAGATGAGTGAAGGTTGTTACAGCAGTAGACTAAAGGTGGTTTTGTAATGACGTGTTCTAGTCTCACATGAATGTGCTGTTTGGGTCCCCACATACTGTAGGTGCCTAAAAGCTTTAAGCTGTGTAATGTAAAAGTCATTGTCTTTAAAGTCAGTCAGGAACACAACAAGTGTGTAAGTGAAATGTTCACGTGTAAATCTGTAGATGAACAGATATCAAAGCACGCATACTCCAGAGCCTATCCACAGCCTCACTGAAAATCTGTGACCTAAAACTAATGACACTTTTTCTGAATTAACTAGGCCTGCTGAATAAAGAATGTTGCTATTATTCATTGCAGTCCCTTCAAAAAGCAATTAACAAGCTCAGCTTACAGTATGAGGAGAGATTAATTTAACGGTGACCCGGTCTTCACTGTGAATACTAAAATACATTTCTTGGTTAAGTAACACCAGTGACCAGAGTGGGCTATGCTTACATTTTCTTTGGATCAGGTATCACACACATATTTCACACTGGTTGTCCCTGTGTAATTTTGGTTATTTTAAAATAACATTATTTTCAAATATTAAGCGATTTGTACTTTTAGAAAGACATGGATGAGAAACTGACTAGCATGCTTAGCATTCCATACCACAATCTCTGCCTTGGATGGGATGAAGCAGATCTCTTAGATCAGTAAGCAAGCACTTGTTTTGTTTTGGGGGGGTTTTTTTTCATTTGTTTGTTTGTTTTTTGCTGAGCAGGCAAACACAATATCCAGTACAATCCTGCAGTATGTGGGTTTTACTTCACTGCTCCCATTCTGGTTCAAAGTCTACCAGTCTCTTCGCTTCTGATTATCTTTGTCTTGTTCAGGACAAAAAAGAACACTTTGCACTACTATATACTGTATGTTCTATGTTAGGAAATGTTCTTCTGACTTAGTGGAGCACCACCTCCTTTCCAGTTTAGAGAGTGGATCTGCTGGCTGTACCATGGGGCTAGCCACCTCTGTTTCACTTTCTTCTTTTTCAGAAGGGCAACAGTATCAAGTGTCGCAAGCAGGGAGGCTTCAGCACTATCAACAAGATTATCTAATTGTGTGGGAGGCTTGTTTGGGTGGCTTTTCTTGACCTTTTTGTCTTAACACTATCTTCACATAATCGTGACTGTTATTCCCCCCCCAATATGTGCATGACTTCCCATTGTGATTTTTTTTTTTATAAACAGTAGCCCTAATACTCCCAGGTATTATCCAAACTTTGAGAAAAGTTATAAACTTGCTGATACCGTATGCTGAACCACTTTCTGAAAGCTGAATTTTTTTAACTGAATATTTTTATACGGCAGACGCATCCATCTGTACAGTAGCACACTGAAAGGCTAAAAACAACATATATATGGCTGGAAAAAGAAGTTGTTCAGGTTTGTCTCACCTTTGCTGTGTATCAAACATGATAAAATAGCAGCTGAAACATTACTCTGATGTGTGTCTCTGTTGGTCTCTCTCTCTGTAACAAACCTTTTCTATTCTGAGGCCTCTTTGATTTTGTTATGGACATGCCGCTGGGTATTCACTGGCCCCAATTCACAGTTGTATAATCTCAGTAAAAAGAGAATATCAAACATCAGATTAGTTCTTGTCATGTTACAGTGTTCCAGGTTGATGATAATGAAATAGAATAATGCCATGCCACCTACCAGTACAGCCTGCTCCACATTTATGATGTGATCTGTCAGCTCAGCCTACACTGCCTAGATTTCGTGTGATTGTTATGTATTTATGTATACTATGTGAGCATGGATTTTTGGGAGATCAGTCCTAAATATCCTTAATCTTGGGGGACTTTCTTGTAATTTTGGCTGTGAGAGCTGCATATCAGCACCTATGAATATCATTCCTGCAGTTGAATCAATCAAAAATAAAAAAAAAACAATCTGTCAAGCAGTAACTAGGGGGCTTTTGAGCCAAAACCACCAGGAAAACAACATGTAATGAGAGCAGCCGCCATAGCCTGCCTCCCCACTGGTTTATTATTTGTCAAAGGAGATATGAATAAATTCATGCACCTCCTCCACACTGCCCCATGTATGCACACACACATTCATGTGTACTACGTAGCTATGTAGTTACTTTTCTTAGCTTCATGCACTCACTGTGCAGTATGCCTTAGTTGGTCTCTTTTCAGCTGATGCATAGCCAACAAGGCAGGTGATTCATAATTAATGCTCAGCTGAATATACTGAAATTCATCATGTGTGTGTGAAAACAGGTAACCCTCAAGGGTGCAGTCTTAACGTTGCTTTACAAAGTTTTTCTCCATTTCTCACACAAGCCGCCTGTGAGTACATACAGTATTTCAAACATTGAGTCAAAATGTCTCCCTTTTAAAACTGATATGGCTTATAAGCTGGTTTCTTTACCTTGTGTCACCGCCTTTTGTTGTTGTTTCCACTACCCCAAGTTTATTTGCTTTTCATTAAACAACAACACGGATGGAGCGCTGTTGACAGCGCAAACTGTGCATCTGCATGCCATATCTGTTCTAGCTAAATGGAAGGATTTCAGCCATATCACAGTCCAAAATTGCAATGGCCTCCTTGGCTTTGTTTCTGTGACAGCGGCAGTTACTGGCCAGTCCGATGTGATAAAGCACATTGGCACTAGATGTACAGTAGGTGCCATTGTTCTGTATAAAAATGCAGAGTCAGTGGTTGCATTTTTAAATTCCAGATGAAAAAGACGTGTGTGTGTGTGTGTGTGTGTGTGTGTGTGTGTGTGTGTGTGTGTGGCCTGGTATTACTCATGTTGTGAGGATGTAAATCGGTTTACACAGTCACACTGTGGGGACTTTACATCCAATATTTATTGTCAAAGGGATAACACACAACAGCACAGCTGTCCATACAGGCAATGCCTAGCTTTGATATTTTGGTGCCATTCTGGTAATACCTGCTTCTTTTTCCCTCTGAAATTATATTAGCTTCTGTCTCAAATATATCTACTGTCATTTAATACTTTCATTTAATTTTTCACCCTGGGGAAACCATGTGACACAGCAAAACTCATTTATTTTACTTTTTTCTGGCCTGGCTAGCTTCCCATGTCCTCCCTGTGCTCTCACCCATCTTAAATAAATGCAAATGAGCTGCTCCCCCAAAATCTACTTGTGATCACCTGATTAATTTTGGGTATGTCTCTCTGGGAAATTCATTTTAGCCTGAGGCTTAACTCGCTATGAATAAAATTGAATTTCAAATGTCCTCTTCCCTTTTTTTTTTCACTTGTCCTGGCACTGGTTGCTTTGCCCTTTGTGGTAATATATACAAACTCAAGTAGACCAAAGCAAATTATTTAAAACAAGCAATCTTTTGTGCAACAGGTTTGGTTTTATTCACGGACCCATGAGCACTCCCACACTGCTCAAGCAGTCTTTCATGCCTGAATGCCACAGCACGCTGCCACTCTGTTGGGCCACGTGTCAGCATGTGGAAACATGCACACAACGAAAAGTCCTGACCTTCGTGGTGTTCTCTCCCATAGTACATGTATGTACAGATATATATTGGTGTGAAAGAAGATCAATACTGAACACCTGAGACACTTTGGAGGCAGGATGACGACTTGTCTAAACTGTCAACACCATTCTTTTAGAAAGTGGTCACATAACAGATATTTCAACACCTCTCTGTCACCCATGTCAACAAAAAGTGACTAACTGAATCTCTACAAACATCAAATGTCAAGTCATTTGTGGTTTTGTATAACACTCTTGAGTTTGTTTACATCTTTTTTTAAAATATGTCATCATTTCTGACAACAT